AAATGATGGATGGATGGGAAGAGCTTGTTGTGAAAGGGAAAGCAGCTGTGGGGAGCAGTGCCTGAACACGATGGCAAAGCAGATGTCCAGTGGGTTCTTGCCGTGCAGATTCAGCACGCAGTGCCCTGTGTTCATGTTAATATGAAAGTAGTATATTAAATTAGCCCTCCCATTGTCAAATTAAATCTCCTCTCCAACTCTTCTTTGTCTTAGGGATTCAGATACATACCACTGATTACCATCAAGAGCAAGTGTAGCCCCAGTTTGCAAGGTGTAGAGGTGGGTTTCTATAGGCCCCTTGAGAATTGTAACAATAAATGGCTTTGTCCAAACTGCATAAACGCTTTGGACCAGCCCAAGGCATCCTATTGAAATTTGTTGTGAACCAACTGTTTTGAAAGGACAAGAGTTATGTTTGAAAACTAAATGAATTTTTTCAATTATAATGTGTTTTTATGCCCATTTCCCTCATGAACTCTACTTATGTCCAAAATATAGCATAAGCTGTTTTAAACAATAGTAAGAAAAAATTTGAGCTTGAAGAAATTAAGTTAACAATGAAAACTCATATACCTGCCATCTAGATTTTAAAATTACAGCTTTATCGTACTTGCATTGCAATGCTGACTTAGAAATGGTTGGTATTGGTATATTCAAGGAGCAGAAAGGACATCAGCGTGGCTCGAACCTCTGAAGCAGGAGCCAAAGCACTGGGCCATCAGTCAGCATTGGGTAAAGCCTAGAGCTAGGCTTGGTGACCATGACTTTGGGTTTTATTCTCAGACAAAAAGTTCTTGAAGATGGGCATCTTTGATCAGTGAGCTGTCATTGTTGCCCAGAAGTCCTCCAAATTCTAAACCCAAGCAAATATTGCTGATGATAAGGAATAAATGAGACAGGCAGACGATAAGGTTGAAAACTGTCTTCTAACCACCTTAATTGCTTGGGAATCTCTGTTCTCTTCCAGTCATTAGTTCCCAAACTCATACTGTGCCTCTGTGTTTCACATCCTTCAGTGTCACAGAACAAGACACTGTCTCTCCTCCAGGGAGAGAGCAGTTTGAGTACAAGTTACAGTCTTTTGCTGTAACTTGAGCATGTCTGAAGATCATGTGTTATACTATGAATGAATTAACTCCTATTTCTTTTGAGTATAGATTAGAATAAGGAGATTAAAACAGGAATTGAAACATGAAGCTTACCTCTTTAAACCTGGGTTTTGGTTCCAAATCTAAAACCAATTAGTGATTCACTTATATCTCAGGTGTTTTTAAAAATGAAATTGAATAAGATAGAAAATATCTAACTTTGAAGATCAAGTTGGAAGCTCACTTTTTATCATTCTGCCTACAGTTCAGACATTTCAAACCCACAACTTTATTTCTGTGGGTACTCCTTTTTAAGTATTAAAGATAAATTATTTTACCATCAGTTTTCCTTAAATTTAGAGCTCATGTTTATCAGAGTTACACATATGAATGAGCAAAGGAGTCAATTAACTAACAGAAAGATCAGATTCCTGCCCTTTTCCTGCTCCCCAGAGGTAACACCTTTCAACTCCTTTGATTGTTTTGGCATTGATCTCCACATCTTTAAAACAGCATATCTATGATTTTCCCATATTGCTTGTAAGAGAAAATACATTGAGACAAGTGGTTAGACAGGAGCTACTTTAGTTTTCTGTTTTGTTTTTAGTGTAAATCAGCAACACAAAATCAGTACTTACTAGGTCTATGCATGTTAACCTAACATATTTCAGAATTCACAACTTTGTTTCTAGAATACTGTTATTCTTCCTCTCTTAACAGTGTTCCAGACACATGTATTACCTGTTTGCTTTGTCATCACTTAGGGCATTTCTAAAGTTTAAGCTTTTCTAAATTCTGCATTATTCTAAAAATTGGGTCACTTAGTGCGTATAGTATTCTACTGTGTATTTGAGTACATAACAAACCCTAGGTGTAAGACACCAATTCTCTTAAGAAGTTCTAGGCCTTATCTGCCCCCTGCCCCCAATCTTAGGAGACATAAGTAAAATAAAAGAATTTGTTGAAATTTACTGCGCCCTAAAAATAAGAACTGTATAATTTCACCTAATATTTGATACTTTTTACGACTAAATCATAGAAGTGAAGGATGGGTATGAGTCTGTCATGAGTAATTTCACCGATATGAATGAACTCTACTGAGGAATGTCCATTTATGCTTTCAGTGTATTCAGTGATACTGTCATTTCCTCAAAAGACATTTTTAAGTTTATGTGTTCTATAAAATCTTAGCTGCTCAGGGTTTGAATTAAAAGAAGTGATTGTGTTGTGCTTCCCTTCCCTCACAGAAGTGTTTTGTGTGTGTGTTCTCCTTGGCAACTGTGACTCCTGCTGCAACCCACATTTAGTGTGGGGCAGGACCTTTTAAGCCTTCCTTGCCCTGTAAAGTCACCTCTGCCAGGATTGAACCAGAGCTGAAAATATCTCTGTTGCATAGCACTGTAACACTTCCTGCAAAATACCATTAAACATTCCCACCCTGCACCCAGCCCTGACATATATAGCATCACTGCTTTTATTTGCAGAATTATAGGCAGGAAAGCTAATATTTTCAGAGAACTTACTGTGAATATGGCCTGTTGTCTTTATGCAGAAGCAACCTGCGTGTGTCCCCCAACCCTCTCCCCACAAAAGGTAGTGGAAAAGAATAATTCACGATTTGTGTATACAGTTTGTGCTTACATTGTTTGATCCATTTGCATACCTATATTTTGTAACCTGAGCAACTACTTTGATGATAACAATACACAATATATTAGCCGTTAATTTCCTATTATCTTGGTATGAAATTCCATATCATTTTTATTGTGTTTTTTTCCCTTTAAAATAAAATAAATTTTAAAGGAGTTGTGTGCTAGACTGGGTGTGATAGCACACACCTGTAATTTTAGCACTTGGGAGGCTGAGGTAGGAAGATCCCCATGAGTTCAAGGCCAGCGTAGGCCACATAGTTCAAGCCCAACCTGAACTGCGTAGTGAGACCCTGTCATTCCCTACAGCCCCCAAAACAGGATTTCTATACCATCTAGCTGGATAATAAGATAATTTAACAGCAAATTGGAAGTGGACCCCCCCCCATCAAACGTCTTATCATTAGAAAACAGATTTAAAAGTGGACTTAAGTATCTTTGGATTTTGAGAACATACAGTGGAAGACATCTGTTAGTTAGGGTCCCTCTCTTCAGTTAATGAAGATAGGGCTTTAATTTGATCCAAAAAATGCTAAGTTGACAGAAGCTGAGGTAGGTAATATTTAAGGATAGCAATGAGTCAGAACAGATCATATCAAAATGTGGAGCCTGCTGGTTTATGATTTAATTATAGGTTTAACACTAACATTCATTTGCATACTCTTTTCCCCTAAAGATTTGTTCTTTGTAGATATATGTATTACTGTATCTCAGATGTTAGTGAAAAAAGTTAAATTCTTTAAATGAAATTTTGGGCCAGGTTCCAAAAAAAGTGTCACGATGCTATGTACTGGAGATGAATATGTTTACAGGGGGAAATGAAGTGGAGTTGGAGTGTGTGAGACCCTCTGCCTATTGTGGTGCACGGATGGGGGGTGGGGAAATATCGGGCAGTGTGAGGTTGGAATTCATGGTTTAAAAACCACTAAAGTGAACCATAAACTTCTTCTGGAAAGTGTTACCTTTAGTATTTTATACAAGACTGTTCAATGCCTATGAGTTTAGCTTTTGGTTTGTTAGCTATGAGTTTTGTTTTATTTTGTTTCATTGTACTGGGGATTAAATCTGGGGCCTTCACACTGAGCTACCACTCCAGCTCTTCTTTTTCAAATTTGAGACAGGGTCTTGTTAAGTTGCCCAGGCTGGGATTGAATTTATTATTCTCCTGTCTGGGCTTCCAAGTCATTGGCATTACAGACACACACTACCGCACCTGGCCAGTGTAGTGTTCTCCTAGTTTATTTAGTAAAACAAATTGCAGCTTCCAGCATGTTCCCAAGTCATTTCCACTATTTATCCTGTTAGTCGTGTCTTTCTCATGATCATTTTTGGAATAGTTATATCTTGTCCTTTGTATAATCTAATATTTGGCTTATATGGTTGAAATGTTTTCTATTGCCCACAAAAAATTTGATAACTAAAAAAAAAAATTCATTATCCCCAGGATTTTCTGCAGTGTGCTCTTTCATAGATGGTAGTCATGTGCAGGGTGAGATGAGATAGTGCATGTTGGAAATGGCATAAGAGCCTTAAGATCTGTGAAGAAAATTGTGCAAAATGCCATCCAAGGTTCTGTGCAGCACTGACCCCAGGCTCACTGGAATAGGCCAGTGGAGGTGCTGAGGAAGGGAGTGTATGTGTTGGCGCGCTCCGGACGAGAGCGTCAGTAGAGGATAGGCGAGGAGGCCTGGTGTGGGAGCCATTTGTGGTTAAGCCCCTGCTACGGACTAAGAGACCACTGTTCATTGGAGGCACAGTCTGGTGATTGAGGACACTTTGCATCAAGACATAGCCAAGCATTATTTTATCACTATTATTTACCACTCAGTTCCTTGAGCCAGATTCTCAAGCATGCTAAACTTTTCCTATGAATTGCAGCAGTAATATCCTACAAGGGTTGAAAGGATTGAAAGGATTCCATGAGATTATGAATGAAGTGCTTTGCGAGGGTCAATGGTCCTGTGAGTGGTAGCTGCTGCTATCTATTTCAGCATCTCCGGAAACTTCCTCCTAATGGGTTTAGGGAGCAGATTTCTAAAGAGAAAGAGAATAGTGTTTTTAAAAGTACAAAGCATTCTATGATTGTAAGTCATCTTTCTGTGTCCTCATTTCTTACACAGTAGGGTCTCCCAGTTCCTACTGATTTTGAAAGTTACATAAAATGGATTATATAAATAAAAGATTCCTCTCAGATTTGGGTTCACACAGTATGGCATTTGTTGGCCCCACTGTTTGCTTACAGGAGTCTTGTGCTGCCTTGCAGGTCAAGCAGGCAGAGTGCGGCGGAGGCCTCTGTCGCTGCCGTCATGCCGTTCCCTTTTGGGAAGTCTCACAAATCTCCTGCAGACATCGTGAAGAACCTGAAAGAGAGCATGGCTGTTCTGGAAAAACAGGACATTTCTGACAAAAAGGCAGAAAAGGTATGCATCTGACTTTATTTATATTTTAAATCTTTCAGATAGGAGCATATATAAAGTAAACCATGGGGTAATTTTTTAAAACAGGTAACTTCGCATTTGAACCTTTTAAAATACTGATTGAGGTGCTGGGCATTGAACCCAGGGCTTTGCATGTGCTAGGCAAGTGCTCTGTCACTGAGCTGTGTCTCCAGCCGTGGGCTTTAAAGGTGGTATTTGCTTCTGCTACAAAGGCACAAGCTTTCTTCTGTGTATTTCCCTCACATAGACACATTTCCATCTTTTTTTGTCCATTTTTGATTTGAAGTCTTCAGGTTTATCTGAAGATGTCTCCATCTGCAGGTGTTTTACCTGATTGTTCAAAGCAGTGTTTCCAACCGCAATGTTCCTGGGAGGGCACGGCACCTGAGTATTCACAGGTCCTCTCTGCGACCTAGTCGCTTAGGCTATTCCTCATTTTCATGCCATTAATATCCTGACCCTCTTCCCCAAAACATTATTTTCTATAAATAATTATATGTCCTGCTTCCTAAAGGATTTGTGAGTAGAGTTTGAGGTGTATTCCTTCTTGAAGAATATTCTAATCTTTATTCTTTCTTTGCTTTTGCTTTTTTTTAGATAGGATTTCATTATGCAGTGCAGGCTAGCCTTGAGCTCACTTTGTAGCCTAGGCTGGTCTCAAACTTAAAATGATCCTCCTGCCTCAGCTTCCCAAGTACTGAGATTACAGGTGTGTGCTACCACTCCTGGCTTCATAGTCTTCCTTGTTGGATTTAGCATTCACCTTCTTACTACACGTCTTAAAATATCTCCCTGACTTGCATCTTCGCTGCACCAGCACAAGACCCTGTGTGATCAAGTCTCTTTTCCTTTTTCTCCCTCATACTATAGGCTTTACCAGTCTCCACTATGTAAAATAATCAAGTATACTAGTCTCTTTATGCCTTTGTTTTATTGTTGCTACCTGTAATCTTGCCTCCAGTTAACTCTATATCTTAACGCCGTGTTAAGATAAATACCGTATTTTTGTGAAAACCATATCATCCACAATGAAAAGTATAGTGAGAAGAGTGGCATTGTGTCAAGTTTTGAAAAGTTTCTTTCAATGTCTGGTTTAATAGAAGATAGCTGGCTTCTCATGTTTGTTTGCATATAGGTTTTCGTTATTTTGGTTTAAGATTATGAAAATTGGCCCCTTATGGATGGATGGATATGTAGAGATGTAGATGGATAGCCAGCCTTTTATGGAGAAGAGTAGTTTGCTTTGGTTCTTTTTTTTTTTTTTTTTTTTTTTTTTTTTTTTTTTTTTGAGACAGGGTCTTCATTGTATAACCCAGGGCCTTGAACTCACAGCTGTCATCCCACCTCCTGAGTCCTGGGATCACAAGTGTGCAGCACCACTACACCCAGCTGGAGAGGAGTATTTTTAAAGCATTTCAAATAATTTTAAGTGTTTGGTACCACACCAGAATTTGACAGTTGGTTGTCCAGAAGTTTGCAACTATGTGAATGCAACTTTTATATAGTGTACTTTAGAAGGATCTTTTACCCATGCATAAGTTTATAACATACATTGGTCATTTAGAAAATACTGCATCACTGATATGTACAGATCTTCAAAATGTTGATGCACTATCTACATAAAATGCACATTTTTAAATATCACCACTGATCACATCAGGAGAGTCTTATCCACTAAACAGGTGGCTGTGTTTATTAAAATTTTGGAATTCAAATTTGGCTACAAATACTGTTTGTTTTCCTTGAAATTACAGATTACTTTATTAATTTTTGAGGAAATGTCTGCCAAATATGTCTGAATAATTTGTCAATTTTTCTTCGTGGTAAAAATCATTTTCCATAAAAAAGCAACTAGCTCAATTCATAGTTTAAAAAATCTTACAACACTTTGGGCAGTCATATTCTGTGAGCCAAGTGTACTTTATACATACTTTCTATTTTACACACAAAATGTTAAAAATGTTTGTGTACTCAGAGGTCAGAATAACTTTTTTCTCTCGGGCATTCTTAAGAGAAACTAGCTTGTTTTATTAACTTTATTGCTTTATTTATTAACAAAGCAGTAGTAACTGTCAGTACAAATTGCAATACTGAAAGAAAACAAATAATACAGTGCACAGTGCTAACCACTTTTGTACTGATAAAAAAATCTAACAAACTCCGAGGGGATCTTGAAAAGCCCACAGGTCTGCAACAACAGAAACACCCAAGTGTTTAGAGTTAGCATTACCCAGGGTTTGGAGGTAGGTTTATTTAACATGGAAAGGCACTGACCTCAGGAAAAAAAATGTCAGGCCCCAAAGGTTCAGGGAGGAGACAGGGTCTCACTGTGCAGTTCAGGCTGGCCTTGGGCTCACTTTGTAGCCCAGGCTGGTCTCGAACTTGCCACAATCTGCCTGCCTCAGCCTCCCAAGTGCTGGGATTACAGGAGTGTGCCACCGTGGCCGGCTGGCAGGGAGGTTTTTATGGGCTTGGTTGCAAAGGGAAAGTAGAGGCAGAATAATTGGCTGCCTTTGACGGGTTTTTACAGTATACATCGTAGTGACTAGCTGTTTCTAAGAAACACAAGTAATAGAAACTGTAAGGAACTGTTACCTGGGCAATTAACAGACCTTGAATTACATGGAGGGAGCATTTTCTGCTTCCGGTCCACACTTTGAAATAAATGTGATAGTTAATGAGAGGTACACAAGGAGGTAGGGAGGTACAGACATAGGCTGTATCCTAAATAGGATGGGTTACATAGGACAAGTCTCATTGACTTCTTTTATACTCATAGACATGAGTATAAAATAATAGTAAGCAAATCCCAGATAGAATATTTATTTGACTTAATCAGTGGTTTTTCTGCTAGGGATCCATTCTGCAAGAAGACACTGAACTGTGAGAATACTTTTGTTTGTAACATTTGGTGGGTGAGGCTGCAGGCTGCTACTGACATCCATTTAGTAAAAGCCAGAGATGCTGCTAAGCGTAGACTAGCCCCCCACAGCAGAGGATTATCTGGCCAAAAATGTCTATAATGCTGAGGTTGAAAACTCATGCTGTAAACCAACATTAATCAAGAATAGACCTGCTGGGCTGGGGATTTAGCTCAGCGGCATAAGCACCTGCCTTGTAAGCAGGCAGTCGTGAGTTCGATCTCCGGTACCAATAAAAAGGAAAAAAAGCCAAAAAAAAAAAAAGAATAGACCTGCTATGAGTATAAAACATGTAGTTGTATGTATAAAAAGATAAACTTCAGTTAAGGAGGCAACTCTGAAGAACAATCCATGTAAATTACTTATTCTAAAATAAAAGACTAGGAAAGAAACCATGAAACTTGATTTATCAGGACCCAGAAAAAGTGGCAACTAATGCAAACAGGAAGAGAGAACTGAAACTGAAAACTGTGGAAAGATGAAAGTTCAGCTGATAAAATAAAAACCATGTTTGAAAACATGATAGTTCCATTAAGTTAGGGTGTTTGCTTGCTATGATTTGTTAGCATTGTTTTAGAAATTATAGCCAGTGTATAAAAAGTAACTTAGAAACTTAAAACAGTCATTGCAAATAAAGAAGAAAAGTTACAGTGTTGAGATATTTGTAAGTGTTCCCAATGCGAAGTCCATGGGGAAATGAGAATTTGTTAGGACAGCTAAGCGAATAGAATATCCAGATTATGGATATATGGGTTATGTAGCCAAAAGTGTCTAGTTTGGCTTTTTGTGGGGTTGTTTGTCTGTTTCTTTGTTTGTGACAGGATCTTGCTATGTAGTTTAGGCTAGATTTGAATTTTCGATAATCCTCATGCTTCAGCCTTCCAAATTCTGGGATTATAGGTGTCTGCCACCAAGATGCCATTTCTTCCCAAATTAATTTTTCAGATTAAAATAGTTCCTTTCAGATCATAGCAGGATCTTTCTGAGACTTGACAAATATTAATCTGTTCTTATATTGAATCAAAACATTTCATTCACAGTCTTGACAGTGATAGTGTACTAAAATCCATCATTCTGATTTTTTTGTGTGTATGTGTGCCAAAAAAGACATTCATGACTCTTTAGTTCACTCCCCAAATCCTTGTATTTTATCTGGAGCGCAAAAACATGTAAATCTAGGCCTTAATCACGTCTCCGTTTCCTTTGTTGCCGCTACAGTGTGAGCTGTCCATGTCTCCGCTGTGGATACTGCAGGGTCCTCCTCACTGGTTTTCCTGGCCTCCCTACAAGCATAGTGATTCTTTCAAAACGTCCATCAAATAGCATTTTCCTCAGCATAAGACTCAGAGTCCTTACTCTGACATAAAGTACGTTCTGCAGCCAAGTCTGACATAGCCTACTTTTGGAAGGCTTGTGAGCTGAGAATACTTTTTATATTTTTAAAGGATTAGTTAAATAGAGACTTTCTGTGACTTGAAAAGCTTAAAATATTTACTGTCTGCTTGTTTACAAAAACATGAATGGTGAGCTCTGCATGGACATTGGGGCAGTGTCCCCAGTGGTCTCCGCTAGCCTCCCCCTTGTTGGCCTTGCTCTTCTGTGAACCTTCGTAGGCATTTGCGTTTGCTTCTCTTTCCCGGCTTTTCCTTGGTTTGCTCCCTTTTTCTGATTGCCGTAATGCTGCTTTTCCCCTACTTCCCCATCTCGTTACTGTTCCCTCATTTTGCTGTCTTTATCATACTTACTGATACTTTCTTCCTCTTGTTAAACTACACGCTTTCCAAAAACATGGCTTTCCAAAAAATAGCTTAATAAATACTTGTGTGTATTGAAAACAGAATAGAAAGCAGAGTTCTGAACTCTGCTGAATGAAGTAAAAACCACTTCTAGTAGTATTACAGTAATTTGTATATTGAATTTATGAGTAACAGGAAGATACCATAATTTTTTTGGATTCGGTGATGATGATTAAGTGTGTGTTATTCCCTTGTTAATGCTGCCACCCACAGAAACAGTATGATAAATGACTTTGCTCACTAGTTCTGTTCTCATGATCCTAGA